CTTGTTTACCTTCAAGAGGCTGTAAATCTTTGTAGAAGCAGAAAACCTCTTTTGCCTCCCGAGGAGCAGCTGGTGGGTCTCAAACTGTTGACCCTGTGGTTAGCGGCCCACCACTCAATCCACCGCACCCCCAGGCACCGTCGTCACCTCTCAATGCTCCAGAGAGGTGAGCACAGAGCCTGGCACACGTCGCCCAGCCTGCTTGTGTGTGGTTCTTAGACAACAGGGAACCCAGCAGGTGCCAGCAAACGCTTCAAGAAACCCGCTCTGGAAAGCGGCCTCTCGTTGCCAGCCTACGGCGTGCAGTCACCTACCGCTGGTGCAGGTAACTCTTGCACCTGGTCTACGGTGCGCAAAGCGCAGAGCTTCCAAGCCTCCTCCCCCATTCCCAGAGTCACCCCGGGGGGCGGGGGCAGCTCTTGGAGGAAGCTCTGCTGTTACCCCCACTTTCCAGATGGGAAAGCTGAGGTTCTCACAAGTTAAGGCACTTGCTCAAGGCCAGACTGCCATCTCTGGGCCTCTGCTCCACATTGGTCACCACAGGTTTTCTTCCCCCGCCCCCCACCCCCCTAGTTGACAGATACAGAGTAGATGCTGGCAGACTGTGAAATAAATCCCTGGGGGCTTGTCACTGGACCCCCGAGGGGAGGGAAGTGCTGGACAGGAAAGGAAGTAACCTAGGCAATAACAGCTGGCCCTGGAGAACACCGTAGGGCTGGGGAGGATAGCATCCCAATGGCCACAGCAAGGCAGCTGGGCTGTGGGGAGGTGGTCAGGGGCTCCTCCAGCCTCCGATGGCTAAGTGGTGGGCTGTGTCCATTCCTCTTAACTTTGCCTGCCCGTCCGGGCCCCCTCACCCCCACCAGAGCTTGGCCCCCCACAGGAGCTGGGCCTTGGGGACCAGGGGGAGCAAGCACTTGAGAGCCATCCTGCCACGTTCATGGCATTGTCCTCCCTGAGCCGAGAAGTACATGCTGTCGGTGCTGTGAGCTGCTGTCGAGTGAGCCTCTGATTCAAGCAGACCCTATACATAATGGAACAAAATGCCACCTGGTTTGGGGCCAGCCCCGTGGTTTTCAGTGGCAGACTTTCGGGTAGTAGACCGCCAGGCCTTTCTTCCTCATCGGTCGGTGTCTAGAAGCTCTGCCAGTGTAATGGCAACATGAGCACCTCCACTGAGAGGTGGGCGGTGGGTTCCATGAGGGCCACTGGCTGGAATCGAACCCGGGACTCCCACACGAAAGAGAGGCATCTACCTTGGAGCCTCTGTAGCATCTGAAACAGGGACGCTCACAAAACAGTTGCACGAAGCGGCTGTATGTCCACTCTTCTGTTCCCACCTGGAGAGGCCTGCGGAGGCTCAGTGGGGTGACATTTCTCACCCCTTTCCCTGGGCAGTTACCTACTGTCAGTGTGTGATAATGATTAGGTTTCAGAGGAATAGGAGCGTGCAGATGCACCCTGCCCTCCCCGAGCTACAAACATACATACATACATACATACATACATACATACATACATACATGTGAAGAAGTCGTGGCCGCCATCATCAGCTTTTCAAGGCGCCATAGTTGAGATGTATTCAGCTTAATTAAGCCCAGTCCCCCACTGATGGGCATTTAAATTGTTTCCAATGTCTCACTCAAGCGAGCAGAGCCCCGGCTTGTCACCTCTGCATAGACATCGTGAGACAACTTGTGTTTTACTTCCTGGGGAAATAG